ACTGTTTGTTGGCCTTTAGGAGTGTTTTCCAGTCCAGTCTGTTGGGGCATCACGCCCTGGCCCCAAAATCCACCTTCAGCATTCCCTGGGGACCTCACCACTCTGTTCCCTTGTTCTGTTGCACCCCCTTAGTGTTTTGCCTCCGTGTGGCGGGATCACGCCTGAGCTGCCATATTTAAAAACAAAAAATTTTTTTCGTTAGCTGAGCTGTTTGCCCCACCCTTGGCCCTCCCGTTTACTGCTCTCTGTCCTGATGAAAACATCATCCATTCAGCAGGTTGCACCCAGCGAGGCATACTGCTTGTCTTGGGGACCCAAGAGTCCACAGGTAAGGATACCTTCACTGGAGCGGCTCTGGAGGTTCACACAAAAGGCTCTGGGCTCCTGTTAGCTCAGGGCCAACCATTCCTAACAGGACAAGACTATCCCCGCTGCCAGCGTGGCCGGGGCGCTCACGCGACCATTCCTTTCCAGACAGCTGACACCCTGGCCAAGCTGGCCGGCCATTGAGGAGGGTTTTTTTATAGCCAGTGGACCAGCAGCAGGAAGGAGCCTGGATTGACATGGCACCCACCTCTCTGTGTCTCACCCTTTGTTTCTCCTTCAGGCTGCATCCCGGGATCCGGCCTCCCATCCAGCATTCTTCTCCCCTAGGCTGTACCCCTCCCTCCAAGCTGCTCTCCACCCACAATTGCACCCGGGTGCCTCCAGGCCCCCTCAGAGCAGCCACCCAGGCAGGCCTGGGGAGGGAAGGGCACCCTTTTCTAGCACTAAAGGGGGGCTTCGGTGATTTACTGGAGACAAACTTGTTGATGTGTGGCAGGAAGTGCAGCGTTCATTTTCTGACAGGTGGTCCACACCCGCTCTTCCACCAAATTAGCACTGAAGGGCCGATTTATCATTGACCCAGACTCCGTGGCACCACCTGTCACCCAGGGAACCAGGCTCTTTTCCCATAAAAACCCACTGTCCTCGCCACCTCTGGAGGACCACGAATGCTGAGGGGCACAGGGTACCTTCTGGGCTCAAGAACAAACAAAGCAACCAAGAATGGCAGGGAATGCATGGTGGACAGAAAACGCTAAGATGTTCAAAAGACAGGTCTGGGAAAGAGTGACATAAGGCGATTCCACGCCCTGCTTCCATTCGCCCTACCCCCAGTTTTCAGAAAAGGGAGCCGAGGCTGAGAGCAGAGGAGCCTGTCTAAGAGAACCAAACGGAAAACCAAACCGGCACTGCCATCGAGTCGATCCCCGTTCACAGTGACCTGATAGACAGAGTAGAACTAACTGCCCTTGTGGGTTCCCAAGCTGCAAATCCTGACAGCAGCAGAAAGTCTCATCTTTGTCCTGTGGAGCAGTCGATGGGTTTGAACCGCCGACCTTCCAGTGAGCAGCCCAATGGGGCCCCTTGGTCACAGAACGGTAGGCTCTTGATCGGAGTGCACTAGACTCCTCTCCCATTGGACATGAGGAATTCTTGGCCTCAGGCTTTCTCCGAGTGGAATGGGTTATCCATGGAGTGTTGCTCAGCTAGCAGTGCCTTGCATGGGGTCCGAACACCCAGTTGTGATGGTGTCAGCCCCACCCTGAGGGACACAGACCGTCCATCTCCCTCTCTGAGTCCTGGTTCCCTGAAGGAGAGGGTGCATGGTGGGCACGGGAGCGCAGCTGGCTCCGCCAGCGCCAGCCTTCCGTGACACCAGTAATGGCTCGGCTCTTGTGTGGTTGTTTTGCACGGGGAAGGGGCTCTGGCAGCGGGGGCTATGGTCTCAGACTCCCCTGGTGGTGGGCAGCGCCCCCTGGCACATGTACTTCAGCCGCCGCTGTTCCTCCTTTCGTTCACAGCCCAGCTTCCAGGAGGAATGCAAATTCAGAGAAACCCTGCTGCCGAACAATTACAACGCCTATGAGTCAGACCGCTACCGAGGGGCCTACATCGCACTGAGCAAGTATGGGCGCGTGAAGCGGGGCAGCAAGGTGTCCCCCATCATGACCGTCACCCACTTCCTCCCCAGGATATAAGGGACCCATGAATGAAGCCCCGTAGGCTGAAGGCAGCATCTTTTCTGTTGGACTCTCGCACACGTGAACCACTCCCCTGGCCACTCCCCACCCCTTGCCCACGATGACTCGTGAGTGAGTCAGGGTTCTCTGGTGCCGGATGAAAACCACGTGGGTTCTCTTGGCCACCTTTGCCTCCTGCTCTCTGGCCACTGGACCCCATGGCCTGGAACCCACCCGAGTGAGAAGTCACAGCCAACTTCCTAGAATGGCAGTGGCTGCCGGGCCCTGACCTCATCCCAAGAGCAGAAGGTACAGAGGGTGTTTGTGGAACGTGACCCCGTGCACAGGAGGAGCCGGGGTGGGCGTGGGAGGAGGGGGTTGCCGCTGTAGATCCATATGCCTTTATACATCTTCTCAGAGCAAAGGCATTTTGAGCATCGGGTTTCTCCCTCCCAGCATCGATGCTGCAGGAATCTGCCTGCAAGAATGTCCCTTGTCCAAGCAGCAGGATTCCTGTGTGCCCCTGGTCATCCTCTTTCCATGCAGGGGTCCCCGGAGGCTCGGGTGGCTTGGGTGGTGCTCGGCAGCTGTCCCCCAAGGGCAGAGAGGGCAGGAGAGGAGGGAACAAGATTTCTTGGCAGCCCAGAGAGAAAGGGAGGCAGACTGTCCAGGGTTCCTGATGGCGAGGGCTCTGGCCCGGGATGCACCGTCTGTAGGGGGGCTGTGTCTAGGACAGTGGAGGAGGACCCACAGGAGGCTGTGGAGGGGCCTGATGTTCTGGGGAGAGCCCATCTTCCTGGTGGATTCATTCAACGCTGTGTGTGGCACCAGGCGCAAGCAAGGACCAGGCTGCTTGCCCATCATTTTTTCTCACTTTGAACCAGGTCTTATTTTAACCTCGGATGACAAGGATCCTAATAATGGCAACCTCTTTGGCAAGGGACGGGAGGTGCAACCTAGGGCATGAAGGAAGGGGAGAGGCTTTGGACGCCAGATGATCATTCGTCTCCAACTCTTCCCAGGAAGTCACCCAAGTTCTCATCTGACAGCCTCACTTCCTTCTTGGTTGTCCTCCACCTCACACACACGGTGGCACGGCGGCAGTCACGTGGGCACCGTGCGTGACCTCTAAGAGCTTGCCCCCTCTTCCTCCCTATGGGAGGGAGGAGGAAGATTGGCAGGCCCGGGGTTCCAGACAGCCAGCTGAAGGAGAGCTCTTCTTCCCTGACACTGAGTCGGCATCCACTCCTTTTGCGGCAAGGAGAGCTGGCCCCTGAGAGTTTCCAAGACTGGAACTCTGTATGGGAGTAGAAAGCCTCCTCTTTCTCCTGAGGAGTGGTGAGTGGTTTTGAACTGTTGACTTTGGGGTTCGAAGCCCAGTGCATAACCACGCTGCCACTGGGGCTCCGTGGGGACAACTAATTCTTAATAGCGTGTATATTGCCCTCACTTGGAGATGACCGCACCAACTGCTCGTCACAGCATCCCTTTCATCACCATCTCCCCTCCCTCGCTGCACATGCAGCTGATCAGTCACGGAGAAGAACTCGAGCCTTGTCTTGCACCGTAGGAGGCTACATAAGCACTGGATGGACCTGTTCTGACTTACCTGCAAATTCGACTTAAGCACACCCTTAGGAACGGAGCTCACCTGTAAACCCTGGACTGCCCCTCTTGATAATCCTGTGAAGTCAAGGCGTCGAGCCGAAGCAGCCCCTGGCCTGCTTGCCTCCTGTTCTTTAAGAGTATTTAAAGCCAAGGTTCCCGGGCGACTATAAATGTGGTCTTCCTGGGGGCCTGCGGATTCCTCGGCCGCCGCTGGGATGTTTCTAAATCTGAAACCAGAGAGAGCCATATCAGACTGCAAATATTTTTGGCATACGTGAACCATCGAGTTACAAAATGACCTGACACCCCCGCTATTCTCAGGGGGCCCTGCCTGCAAGACGGTCCCTCATCTGCTGCAAATACCTTCATCTTCAACATACCGCGCTATTTGCAGAGGCACCCATCTATAGATAGATCTCAGCGGAGGGACGGTGAGTTCAGGGTGGATGTCGGCAGTGCGAGGGAGGCACACCATCCTGGCCCCCTCCTCTGCCAAGCAGAGATGGGGGGCAGGGGGGAGTAGGGGAAATCCAAAGGTGGGACAGAAACTGGCAGGAGGCGAGATCTTTGGAAGAAGTGGGAAGAGGTGAGAGTGAGCCCACTCTGTTTGATGTGCGGGCCTGCTTGCCGGGAGGGAGGCAAAGCTGGCTACTCTGTCAGGAGGGCTTGTCTCGGGACCAGACACAGCAGGAAGTCAGTTCCCGGTGGCATCTGGTGTGAGTGGAAAAAGCCTGGGTGGGCAGGCAGAGAAGGTTTGAGTCCCAAAGCATGGATGCTTTCCTCCCCGGATCTTTAAGCTAGCTTAGCCTGGGCAGAGGCAAGCTTTTAAAGAACATCCCAAGGCATTGGGATAATGCTCCCCTTTGCCTGCCTCTCTGTAAAGGATCACTAGGCTTGCCAGCTCCCCAAGGAGTGCCCCCTAAAGTCCACATCATTCCCATGCTGCTTGAGGCAGAAGGAGAAGCCCGGAATTGCCCAGGATGGAGCGAGTTTACTGTCCAGTCTGTCATGAGCGAGCAGCTGCAAGCAGCACCGTGGGGCTTCTCCTGAGCCTCCGCTCTCACTCCTGCAGGGCTTACCTGGCACACACTGTCAAGTCGCTGGAAGACCAGCCTTGGATGCAGGAAGAGAGATGGCTTCTTTCAAATCGTTCCCGTCCGAAGCATTATCTTGAGAGTGTTCACTTTGAGCCATAATTTAGGCTTCAGAAGAGTCCATCTCTGTTCATAAAAGTAGGTTAAGGAACAGGAACAACGGGAGACCAGCAAAGGGCTTTTTTGGTTTTTATTTGTCTGCCCCTTCTCTCCTACTAAGGAGCCTTTCGGGAGAAAGACGGGGCGGCAGGGGGGAGGGGGTGGCTTTCTTTCTACCTCTGTGAAGAGTTCATCTCTCGGAAGCACACAGGGGCAGTTCTACCTTGCCTGAGAGAGGCCCTATAGACTTGACTCGCTGCAGTGAATTTGGTTTGGGTCCTTGTGTGACTGTCTGTGCACGGGTGTGTGGGGTGGTGGTGGTGGTGGGGGCATTGCTTCCTACCTACTCTCCACCCCCACTCAGTGCGGAGCTTGGTGGTCAGCCCCTTTGACGTCAAGAGGCTGCTTTCTAAAGGACTGCTACAGGCAGGAACAAGAGTGAGCCCCCAGCTCCCCACTGGGGATGGACGACGTGGGGCTCTCTGCCCCAGATCATGAGCAGTGCCCCTGGTTTATAGAAGTGAGTGAGTGGCTAATTGGCCTCCCTCCTCTCCTGAACCTTCTCTGGCAGCTCCTCGTAAACTTAGGGTTCCAGGGACTCAGGGGCTGTATTAGTCCCTCTTGGAGGGCAAAGGATGAAGAAGAAAGCAATGTATCTGCACCAGCCTGGACGATGGGTTTCTCAGCTGGGCAGAGGCTCGCTCAGACACAATGGAGGCTCCTCGGTTCCCTTACAAAGTCCCCACGTTGTTTCTCCTAGGAAACCAGGAAATTCCAGAGGCCTTGTACAAAGGATCGATTACGTTTGCTTCATCACTCCTCCCCATCCCACCTCCCATCTATTGTTGAGCCTCCCTTGGAAAGCAGCATATACCTTTGTCATGAATTCCCTATCCTTATCCTTCCCAACCTGACCCTCTGTGGCTACCTCTCACAACTGCAGCACACTCTTAGCCTCACACGCACTCCAAGACCTCGGCCTGGCCATGCCACGGCCTAAGAAAGAGAGGATTTTCTCTCGACATCCGATCCACAGTACAAGCCTCTCTCCTTTGTGGGCTTGCAGGTTTCTTCTCACCCAGGCCTCCAGGCCTCTCCTGACCCCAGCCCTATCCTGGTCAGCTTGGAATTCTCCTTCCCTGGACAGCTCTGGGCCCCTTTCTTTGCCTTAAACCCCAGGTCCTCCAGTTCTCACACTGGCGATGTCCTAAGAAAAGGAGGTGATACAACAAGCCCGCGAGCTATAGCTTTCCTCTCTGTCTGTGTTGGAAGCCCATTGTTTTTGCCCAGTTTGTACCAAAGCGGCACATGCCCTTCTGTGTTTGCTGGCCTTCAAGACACCAGGGTCACCTCTCTGCCCTTTAACCCCTCCTGCCCCATTTCATGTGGGTGCAAGCTAGAAAACTCCTACCTCATTCTTTCTGGATGCTCTCCCCCCAAGGACTCTGGATCAATGGTCACCGGTGAGGTATTCTCTGCCACTTGCCACCCCTGTGCTTAGCTAGTGGGTGTGTGATAACTGCATCCTCGCCTGCCCAGGGAATCAGCCACTACTACCTCCCAGGAAAACGCCACAGGTAGGAATCATTGGAACGAGGCCAGAAGATCAGCTAGAATACTCCAGGCAGTTTCCTCTTCCCACCCTGGAAGAGGGGGTTGATTGGACACCAAAGAGAACCCAAAGCGAGTTGGTTATGCAGACAGCCAACCTCGAACCATGTTTGTATACCTCATTGAACTACCGGAATTCCAGCCTCAGACAGCTGTGTCCTTGTGTGGGTCTCTCTCTCTGCAAATCAAGAAGTCCTTCCGGCTCTGGCTCCCAGGCCAGAGCTGTCCTAGCCTGGGTGCAGCAGAGAGGAACACCCTGACGCCGTTCAATCATATGGTTGTAAAATGTGATGCTTCTATTTTTTTAAGATGTATGTGCTATGCACAAACCCTATCATGTTCCAGAAAAGGGGGATAAAAGGAAACGGTCTTTTTATACATTTCTTGACACTATTCTGATTTCACCCCTCCTATTAAAACTGACAACCCATCTTTGAGTCGTCATTGATTTGCACCTCAATTTTTTCCCCACCTCTCCAATAGGAAGAGTCGTGTTCACAGTGTCTGTGGGTTGGCTGGGCAAGAAGAAATCCTCTGGGTCTCGCTGTCCTACCAAATGGGAATTGAGGTCCGAGGGGGAAGGGAGGTGCCCAAGGCCACCAGGAG